CCACAGCCGCTGAAGGGCCGGAAGGTCAGGGCCTCGTTCCGCTGAAGGTCGTCACCGGTGGGCCACCCCACACGCGTCGGCGGTCTGCGGGGAGACGGCAAAACAAACCGCACGCACGGACCCCGCGAACTCTCCGAGACACCTAGAGGACGGGCCCCGTTTTGCGAGCGGCTTGGGCACCATGAGGAAAATCAGACCCCTGGTTCAAAGGGACGCAACTGTCTCGGGTTTGCAGTCACCGGGGTTCAGGCACCATGCGGTGAAACCCGCCAGGCATGTCCGCCTCGATGCGGGAAAGGCCTTCTCCGCGGCCCGCACGGCGGATTAGACGCGGGCCTCGGCCTGGGCCACGTGTCTCCGTGGCGCTGGCGAAAACCCGTCTCCAGACCCGCAGACCCGTGACGCCGCCTTCTGTGCAAGTGCTTCTGCTTCCTGTCTTCATATCATCGCAGTTCATAAAAAGTTGATGTTTTTTCCGACGTGAGTTTTTGTTTGGATTGTGTTGTTGATTCGCACGATGCCTTTAATGAGTGAACAGTGTTTGTGTGTGTGTGTGTGTGTGTGTGTGTGTGTGTGTGTGTTGGGGGTGGGGGACAGCCAGTCACTGTGTCTGCCCGTGGCTCAGACACAGCTCCACAGTTTGGCGGGCACCCCCTTGGGACATGAGGAAGCCTTGATGGGTCATGCCGCATACCCCAGTCACCGTGACGCTAACGACGAACCAGCTAGCGGCTGTCGGGTTGGGTGCTCGCCATCTGATGGCGTTAACCGAGCTTGGAACTAACCGACCCCACGGCCGTGCGGGCATGGCCGTTCCGGACACCAGGGCGGGCTGCCGCGTTGGCCCTGTGTGCTGGCCACAGAGCCGGGCTCGGTCATGGCAGGTCTCTCTCCTGTCACCTGGTGGAAACAACCACCTGAGCCTCGTACGAAGGTGCGAGCCATCCACAAACCCGTCCACCCATCCGCAGGGCAAAGCCCATCTCCCCCTACGCGCGTGCCGCGGCCTCTCGAGCAGTGTCGCGAGCTGGCTCCGGAGACTCGCGTGAGCCTGTCACTCTGGCGTCCTGGGGTTCGTTTGGGTGAAGGAGCATGGGGCAGGGTCCTGTTGCTCTTTCTGGTACAGGCGCGACACCAAGCACTACCCTAGCGACCACCTCGAGACACGACCACATGCCACACGTCTATCGCTTTCCGAGGGAGGTTTAACTGAGTTTCCTTGGGTTCGATGATCTGTTTCAGACACCTCTCTTCCTCCGGATGTAGATTTTAATAACTGGAAAGGATTCTGGGATAGCCAACTTGACAGGGTAACTGTCACACGGGAAATCGTGTGATGATATATACGGTCGCATAAGATGGGCTGAAGCTTCCTCTTTTCTGGTTGGTTGGTTTCCCGTCACGGTGTCCAGCTTGAGGCCGTGCAGGAGAAAGGCGCCTGGCTAATATTTAATGAGCTGAATATTTTCTTAAATTGTATCTTCGGCGATTATCCTGTTGCCTGTGCTCGAATGCACGATAAGTTAACCTAACGAGTAAAATATGTTATCTCTCGAAAACTGTTTCTTCTTAAAAGAACACTTATTAACACTCCTCGTGTAACCACAAGTTGTAACGGCTTTAAAAACACCGCTTTTCCTTTCGTTTGCAAAGACTGGCTGGGAAGTCTCGGAGGGCGAGGTCTGCTTTACACTGGGAGGAGGCAGTGGCTTTCCCCGGGGGTGTGTGGGACCAGGATGCTAATTACCGTGTGGCCACTTTGTATCTTGGGGCTTCCTATCTGACTGGATCGGCTCCAGGCTACAAATTGGACTTTGTAACTCTGAGTGGTGTCCTTGAAGATCGCTGATCTATCTCTCTCTTGGAGGCAAAGGTCTAAGTGTGGGTTAAACCTGTTGCCTTTGCTCCTCACAACGCGCATGGGATGCATGTTTGTTAACCATCTGGGATTTTAATTTAATCTCACAACGCGCATGCATGTTTGTTAACCATCTGGGATTTTAATTTAAACCAGATTCAACCACAATATAGGAAGCGAGACACGCTTTGAATTATATCAGGGATTTTACATGCAAGACACAGAGTGAGACGCCATTTCTACACCTCTTTTTAGAAAATCACTTTTAGACTCACAGAATAATTGCAAACGCAGCAGACGCCACGTTTGTCCTGAATTCCTGAGACCACGCTGCCGACGGTCGCAGCAAGCTCCAGTGTCTGCTTCCCATGAGCTAGGACGTGACCCTCCGTGACCGTGACGCAGCTGAAGCGGCCGCGAGAGGAGCGACCTGATGCTACCTGCTCCCTCGACAGTGGCCCGCGCGTGGCCGTCACGCTCCCCTCGTGCGGGCACCGTCCCTCGGGCTTCGGTTTCCGGCGGTCCTACCCTTGCGGAGATGATAGGCTGGTGCTTCCGGTGTCCCTCAGTCTGGGCCCCTTGTTCCGTGTTCCGTTGGGGTTACACACGGCAGCGAGAGCAGCACAGACGCCACGGGGAGCCCTGTGCCCCTCGGGCGGCTGACCCAGCTGTCCCCTCATGGAGCTGATGCGCTTCCGTCTCTCGGTAAGAGGCCACAGCGCCTGCCAGGCCTGTCGTCCAGTCGCTCTTGTATCCTCTGTGATGAACAAGCCTTGGTGCTGGGGATGCGGCTCGAGACCGTGTAACTATCCTGTTCCTCGTCGAACTTCGAATTTCTTCCTCTACTTCCAGCACGGACTGGGTGGTTCCTGCCTGGCTCTGTGGGCTGTAATCTGTTGTTACCGCCGTCTGTTCTCGAGGGCAAGTTTTTCTTGGTTTGGCCAGTAGGACCTCCTGCAAGCTGGCCTCTGTGTCCCTTTGACATGTCCCCGCTTCCTTCCTTTACGATATGAGAAGGTAAATTGCAGTCACGTCATCTCACGCCACTTGACCCAGGAGTCATCACTCCGCTTCAGATACGCCCAGATCACTCCTTCCGGCTCCTTCCTTGCGTCTCTGCTCCGTCCTCGTCGCTCTGTTAGTCTGCACGCCTGCGGTTGCCACTTCCCCTTCTTCTGTGACAAGCTGCCCTCGTCCCGGGTGGGGTCACCCTGACTCTGGACATGCCAGCGTTTCCTGTCTGAAGCTCGCTCGGCCCTTGAAGGGGATGTCACACGTCTGCGCTCACCCATAATACACGGATTGCGAAGCCCGACCCTTAGAGCTCGTTGGCCGATGTGTAGAATTTTAAACTTATTTTTCTTTTTCTCAAATTTTACCGGGGAAGGGCCCGGTGGAGCCCCCAAGGACGGACGTCGCCGTGACCTACATCTACTTACCGAATGGACGACAAAACACAGAGACAGCGCCCCTAAAAGAACTCAGCGGGGCCTGCTTCTTCGCGTCGCCCCGTTTTGCTTTCACGGAGCTCCCTTCTAGAGGAGCTCGGCTCCCAATGCAGATGAGACGCGATGGGGTAAAACCAGGGGCCCAGACGAGGTGGGACGGGAGGCGGGGACAGGGATGGGTGTGAGTCACGCAAGTCACCGTCCGCGACGAAGCAGAGGCTTTTGTCCGCATTAGACTTTCGAAGGCGATTTTCAGGGTTGTCATGTAATAAAAATCTTCACGCGCCGGTATCGTTCAGCTACCAGCCTTTCCTCCTGGCGCGGGGCCCGTGCCGCGTACGGTTTCTCCGCCTGCCACCCAGGCATCCTGAGGTCCCTCCCTGCAGGGGTCTCAGCCTGTGGCACGAGCAAGTGATCGGGACTCGCTGTCGCCCTCGCTCCTCTGTCCCTGAAGCCGCGCCGGTGGGTCGGCGGGGCCGGCGGCCTCTGCTGGGTGTGGCTCCCAGCTGCTCTCCCGCCCCGTCTTCTCTGCGGGGCAGCCAGAGGGCTCCATTCCACCGAGACTCCCGCTCAGGGGCTTCCTGTCACACAGGAGAAAACCCGACGTCCTGGCGACGGCTGACCGGGCTCTGGGTGGCCGGCTCACCTGCCGCCCTCTGCCCCCATCCTCTGCTGCTGTCCCCAAGGCAGCGCCTCTGTCACTCTCCGCACCTTGCTCTGCTGCACTTTCAAAGTGCATAACAGATACGACATCATGATACTTTTTTATTTCTAACACTGTCTGTCTGTCTCTCCCACTGGAACGCAGCCTTCTTAGCAGCAGGGGTTTCATCTTGTTAACCAGGATTTCCAGCATCCAAGTAGTGCTTGGCACATGATAGGTATCGATAAACACTTATTTAATGAACAAATGAATATTTTCCCACGCACGTTAAACATAACATACATAGTTGGTCAAAAGGTACAAACTTGCAGCTAGAAGATGACTAAGTTCTGGGATCTAACGCCAGCCCAGTGAGACAGCCAGCAACATTGTATCATAAACTTCAAAGCTGCTAAGAGACTAGACCACAAAAAGGAAATGGTAATTATGTGATGTGAATAGAGGCGGGCGCTAATCCTACAGGGGCAATCATGTTGCAATATATAAATATATCAAGTCGACACACTGGGCACCTTAAACACACAGTGTTATATGTCAATTACAGCTCAACAAACATAAAATCACAGATTCACAATACGGTCTTTGATTTTCTGGATTAGTTTTGTGCTTCTGTAGAAGGCTGTGTCTAGACGTATATATAAGCTTTGGTATTACAGAGATCATGCAGTGTGTCCTTAAAAAAAAACCTTCAAAAGATACTGCGGTCCTTAAGATGGCAGTGAGTGGAACCACGCAGATACGTATAGGTTCGCGACCTGTCTCAGTGGTGCTTTAGGACTTCGACAGGCTTCTCTAACAGTCGTCACGCAGTGTTCAAAGGTGGAACTTACTGCCAAGTAGCAGACTCGCTCGAACGCCCTCCCTCACGATTAATGGATGCCGCATCTCCAAACGGAGGTGGTCACTTTGCCTCGGACCCCGTCTCTTCCCCAGGGGTCCTGCCAGGGTGCCCCACTCCCGAAGTGAAAGGAAGCACAGGAGAGGGCGAGGAGGGCGAGGGGAAGGACGTTCCGGCAGCAGACGGGCAGTATTTAAAAGGGAGACTATGCAGCGAAAGAAAAAAAATATGTTAACAGGAATTAAAGAAACTTTAAGAGGGAAAATGAGCATAATCTCCCTATGGGCAAAAAGGCAGGTGGCCCGTGTGTTAGGCCGCAGGGCGCTGTTTTCCTGCCGGCCACCAGGTGGCGCTGGTGGAGAGGAGACCGTTTCTGAAGTCCGGGGGCGCCTGGTCTGAGCTCACTGTTTCCTTCCTTCAGTATTGATGGGAACATCTTTGTACGTACACCCTTTCCCCGCTTTCCATCGTTTCCTTGCCTTGAATTTCCCGGAGTTTATTTAGGCCCCGTGGGCGCCGC